TTAACAGAATTTTGTTTTTTCTCTTTAGGATCCCAAAGAAGCCCATGCGAGAAGAGGAGGTGAGATCTGTCAGAATATATTTTACGTAAGATTTTAAAAGGTTCAAAATTGATTTGACCCTTCTATCCATTTACCAGCTCCATGGACGTTTGATCCTGCACTGTTGCTTAACTGTTTGAAGAAGCTTAGAAACGAGGTAAAGAGATAGTTGTAAGATTTTGATTGACTTTAGAATCTTGGAGTTACGAGACTTACATAAGACTCTGATTAGTTTTCAAGCTGTCCAGGGCTCAGTTTATGTGCCATCATTCGATCACGGAGTTGGGGATCCAGTTGAAGATGATATCTTTGTTAGCCTCCAGTAAGTAACCACTAGCTTCCTAAACGGGACACGTCCGAATGTAGTGTCATGAAATGTTTCCTTTGCCTCTTCTGGAGACAATCAGTTAAAGTAGAAGGTTGTGTCATCCTTTTGCAGACATAAAGTGGTAATTGTAGAAGGAAACTACATACTGTTAGAAGAAGGATCTTGGAAAGACATCTCGGATATGTTTGATGAGAAGTGGTAAAGCTAATCAAAAGCGTCCTTTCCTTTTGTCCCTCTTTCGAGGTTTTTGCTTTCGGTTTTTACCAATTAAAGTCTTCACATCTTCATTTCAAGGTTCATCGATGTCAATCTCGATACAGCAATGCAACGTGTTGAAAGCCGGCATATCTCAACTGGTATGCACAAAATCTTCTCTTTGATTCTTAAAGACTTGCAGTGACCTTAGAGAATCCGAGTTTTGTTATATCCGTTTTTACTTTTGCGAACTACAGGTAAACCGCCGGATGTTGCTAAATGGCGGGTAAAACCTCTAGCTCTCTACTTTGCTTAATATTTAGATATATATAGTTTCACTGGTTTCTTAAAGGTAGCTGCTTTCTCTTTTCAAATTTGAATGGTAGATTGATTATAACGACCGACCAAACGCGGAGCTGATAATGAAGTCGAAGACGAATGCTGATGTACTGATCAGATCTATCAATTTTTGAAACTGCTTTCTTGGCTATTGCCTATTGCACCGAACAGAGCAAGGGAAGTTTGTCTACTGTCTTTTTTTCTTGTAATGAAATCTTTCAATAAGCACATTTGTTTGCACTAAATTGTGACATTTTCCAATTCCATGATGGAATAAAAAGTGCAAAGTGGGCTTACTTTTATAGGCCCAACAATAACGATAATGTGCTAACTGTGTGTTTTTTTGACATCAACGGGAAAAGTAACTGTATCATTTAATTTTATTAATTATTTATGATAATTAAACGATCTATCCAAATAACGACAGCAAAAAAAGATGTACCCAAATTAGTGCAAAATATTCAAAAAGGAAATTCATATTTTTGTTTTTTCTTCCTTTTTTTCATGATTCAATATGGTCCCACACCTTTCATTACAAAAATTAAGGTGGAATTATTATCCGGGATCCGAGAACCGATCCGTTATCCGTTCGGAATCGTTCCGAAACTAGGATATCCGCGGAACCCGGATCCGGATAAGGATAGTAAAATCTAGGATCCGTGAAAAGAGGATCCGGATCCGGATAACAAAATTTTAAGGTCCGGATCCGGACGCATTAAATATATTGAAAACATATATATTATATATCTATTAAGCTAATTTTATATAAATAAATATATATAAAAATTGATTTTAATTTTTTTTTATAATAAATTATATTTATAATGAAAAATATCATTTAAAATATTAATTAATAATTTTTAAAAATATATTTTTATTTATTTATTAATTATTTTAATTATTTTTAATATTAATTTCGGATCCGAATCCGGATATCCGCGGATATCCGTTTTTTTATCGGATATCCAGAGTCCGGATATCCGATTCCGGATCCGGATAAATTTTTTTCACGGATCCGACGATTTCGGATCCGGATACCTTAAAATTCCAGGATATCCGGATCCATTCCACCCGTAACAAAAACTACTAACCTTCAAAGCCTTTCTTCATCAAAAAGTCTTAAAACAAACAAAATAGTTACTTTCATCAAAATGATAAAATATTAACCAAACAAGTGAGAGAGCCTCTTTCTACTTTTGACAAATCCCATTTCTTTACTTCTTACTACACAAATCCTACCAATCCTACTTTGATTCCATCTCCAAAGTCTTTTTTTTTTACCTCTGATGAGTCACAAAAGTGGTAGTAGTAGTGGGAAAATGAGGAAAAACTTGAGGACCGTTGGATGTTGTCCATAAGTAAGATCTACTGTGGAGGATTCATCTCTGGCTTGATGATTGAAGAAGATGTGTCTGGTGGCTGAGAATGGTAAATCGCCATTGCCAATGAGATTGGCATTATGCAAAGAGCCTTTGATTGCAATAGCTGCATCGCTGCTCCAACGTTTTCTTCCATCAGCTTAGCCACTTGCCTCTCGGTCCCATCGTTTGACCATTTCTCCCACACGGCTTGTGACTCATCCTGCGCCAAGGTTATAAAACCAGAGTCAATGGAAAATCCCATTACCAAAGTTTTTCTAATTTTGTTAAAAGTCTCTCTCTGTCTTTCAGTCTAACCTCAATTGATGAAGACAATGGCATATCGGTGACTAGTGGTGCGACAGCACCGGCTCCACCAAGACGACTCATGCTCAAGACCTGCCATAGTTGACCAGAGAATAAAGCTTATGAAGGAAAAGTATTCTCAAAACTCATCATTGCATGATATTCTTCAAAGTTCTCATTAGCTTTTTTATTATACTAGTCCTGAATTGTGATGATCCTCCATAGGAAGAAACAAGAAAAAAAAAGTGAAAGAGACTAATGCTTAAAAAAAACACAAAAATCATGTGTTCTTTGATTACTCTCTATAACCAGATTAAACAATTATAATCTTTTCTTCCAAATGGAATTTTGGTTGAAGAGAGTAGGTGGTGTGGTGGGGACCAAGGATTTACACCACCAAATCCTTCTGGGTATTTTAAATAATCTTTCTACATATTTTTAAGATAACATCTTCAAGATCTCATACCTTATGAATAGAATGGAGAGGTATCAATAATAACTAAGAGAATTAACACTGAGAATTATACCTTAACTTGGAGTCTGAGAAACTTCACATAATCGACAATCTCATCGATCATTGCAGCCCTATCAGTCTGCAAAGAAAAATTGTGAATACCACAGTTTTTATATGCCAATTACACTTCAGGCAAAAGATACCGACCTTGTTCACGGTAGGTACGAGTTCCTGCAACGCCCTGATCCGTTCTGCAATTCTTTCCCTACGCAGCTGTTGCAAAGCAATTATATTCAGGTTGGTCTCCATAAGCACAACAAAACATAATCTACTCAACTAAAAGTTGCAGTTGAGAAGATAATAAACAATTTACCCGCTCAGCGATGCTATGTGGATCGGTGGCTTGACCTCGCCTTGCCCTAACTCTAGGTCGAATTGTAGATTGTTGATGCGGCATTGGTGGAGCTGGCTGTGACATTGGCTGCCCATGGAAAACCTTTACACAAAACACAAAACAATAACGTTAACAAGAAAAGCTTAAAAACCTACTTTTCACTATAACCATCTCCATTAATTTATCCTCAGGAGAAAAGAAACTACAAAAGCAGATCCAATTTAGACCTAAAGCACATTCATTTACACTAATCGGAAAGTTCCTTGCAAAGTTAACCAGTGTTATGACTTGAGAAACATCAAAATCTTCAATTTGGGTTTCTTCTAAAACAAACCAAATTTCACCAAATCTGAGCCAAAACTTCTTCACTGTAACGATCAAATTAAGACCTCATCCTTTGGCAAAATTCTAGCTTTCATAACTGGTTTTTTTTTCTTTTCAAAACGTTACCTTTATGAAACCCTAAAGATTAAATTTCACTTTTTTCTTCTCGAGAACCACAAACACAGAACAAAAAACTGAGGATTTCAAGAAACTTACAGGTTTCATGGAGGAACATCGATTATCAACAACATCATGAACACCTTCAGGTTTAAGAAAGCCATGTCCTTTCCCTTGATCAAGGCTTAATCCCAACGGAAACATCTGACTCTGAAACCCTAAAGGTCCACCTGTTCCAATGGCACCCATATGATTATGATTCACTTCCTCGCCGGAACCGAGCTGAAGCATCATCGGCGGTGGACCAACGCCGGCTAATCCTCCACCTAGACCAGAAAGCCCAGAACCAGAAGACGCAGAGAAGTTAGAAATCCCGAGGATCTGCTCGAAGAAATCATCGGAAGGAGCTGGATCCGAGAGGTTATCATGTGGGTTGTTGTTGTTATTAGCCATGGAAACGAGTTATGACTCAGTAGAGCTTGGTGAGTTAAGGATAGCGAGTTAGAGAGCTCAAAGAACAATCTCCAAGAAAGAAAAAAAAAAAAATTTTGGGGTATGGAGTTGGTTTGGTGAGAAATGATGATGCTTAAGCTAATGACGACGAAGAGACAGAGACGAGAAAGGAAATGACAAAAAGAGTGACTTTATGCTCTGTTTTATAAATTAAAAAAAAAAAAAACATTTTATTATATAGCGAACCTTACTTTACCGAGTATTTTCGATTTTGCCCTTGTTGTTATTTTACCTTCCAGAAACTTGAAGTGGGCTTTTTTATTTTCAAGTGGGCTTTTTGTTTTGACTTTCCATAATTTATTCTAATAAAAATTATAGAAAAAGGTTACCAAACTCTTTTTAGTAGAATGTTATTAAAAAATTAATATATAAGATTTTATTATTTTATAATGGTAAATGGTAATGGGAAATTCCCCGTATTTGTCGGGTTTCGTCATCATCTCTTCTCTAGTGGTAGAAAATAAAGAGAGTTTTTAAATTTCGTCTCTCTTGTCGTTTTTTCAAAATTTAGCACTCATGGAGTCAATTATAATATCCAATAGGAAAATGACACGTGTTAAATCTACTAGATGGTATCACCACTTGCAAGAAAAAATTTCAGCTATCTTTTTATATCGCAGATGCTATTGACATTTAACACTAATCTTAGCTCAAATCAAGAACATCTTTTCACTGATTAAGTCAAGCCACGATTAAAATATCGGTGCCTCATTAACAAAAAAAAATGATCCCTTATTCGGATTGATGCATATAAGCAAGTAGCTGAAATCAGAGAGCATTCAAGAGCATAAAAGCATCATTAATAGAAATATTTTAAGAGTGTCTTTAAAATAAAAGTGATTAAAAAAAATCATTTAACTATGAACTATATATGACATGGTTCTATAGAATGAACTTAATAGATCGGGTATTTGTGTCAAATTATTTTTTAATATTGAATTTAATTTAAAAAAATTACTTAAGATTTTTTTAAAAAATTACCATTAATGATGCTCTAACAAACTTCGACCAGTAAATATTATTTTGCTGAAACAAAATGAAACAAGCAACTGCTATGAAGACTAAGTAGACCTTAACCCTTGTAGACCTTGTTATGTCCATCTCATCAACTCCTCCAAGACAAACCTTGTGAGTTTCCAATGTTGCCTCCTCTTGTGGCAATACCAACGATTCGCCAAGGTTACTCTCACCAAATGCCTTGTGACGGTGGTCGAGGATAATTTCTGGTTCACCATGTGTGCTCTTACCAAAAGAAAGAGAGAGCTTCAGACACTCGAAACTCAGCCATTGGACTCAAATTTCTTTTTCTATAATTGATAAATTGAATGAGACTAACAACCAAATAAATACCATTGGTTGAAACAAACGAAAAAGGAACAGTTATAGAAGCTTAAGCAAACGTAAAATATTAAATTACATAAAAGTTATTAAAACGAGCTCAGGCCTTAAAAAAGTGGAAACCCTACATTTTTACTCCGGAGAATTCATCGATTTCCGTCATCGGAGTTGCACAAATGCACCCTGAATTTTCCCATTCGAAGCCAGGATTAGTACTACGATGCATCATCATATCACCTCCAGCAAGGCCTTGATCTACGAATCCTCCTCGTGAATCTTGAGCTTGAAGAATCTCTGGCAGCTTTTGTATTTGCTCATATATCAAATCATCCCACCACTCATTGTTGCTGCTCTGCGTAGTAGTCTCGAATCCTGAATCTTGGCCTTGAGGTAGAAGAATCGGTGTCTCTTGTTCCTCTAGTACCGTCTTACCAAACTCATCAGCTAAACCTAGTAAACCACCATCTTCTTCCTTTTGTTCATACGACTCTTTCTTCTCAGACGGCTTGTGTCGGATCCTACACAAGACCCAATCTTGTAACTCATCATCACAAAGGGAAAACTCCTTCATAAACCAATCAGTCCTTTTTCCTTGTGGGTTTCCCTTCAGTTTCTTGTAGTACACGAAACTCTGTTTGTACCCTATCACGACCTTGTTTTCCTTGAGGCGCTTTCTTTCCCGACCAATGCTCCTCCACGTGCCGCCTTCGCATTCGCCGTCTTTTCCAGGTACAGTCCGTTTCGGTTTACTACCACCTCCTTGTGTTGTCGGAACAAAGTAGAACCATTCTCTTTCCATGAACTGAGGATGTCGTGTTAGGTGCTGAAGAAGCCACGGTTCGTCTTCGTACACGTCCATGTCTGTTATGTAACCGTTCTTCCCTTTTTGAACCTTGTTGCGAAGATATTCTACCAACTCCGATTTGGTTGGATCGAATCGTTCACCAATCGAAAGAGTCTCCATACTAATCGATCAGTGAAACAATTTCTGCTTACAACAAAAACAAAACCTGTTTCAATCAAAGTCGAGAAGAAGAAGAAAGATTATAATGAAGTTTCACGAAATATCTGGTAGGATATATATATGATTCATTTGATTTTCCTATTTCACTTACAAATCAAATACACGTTTTCTTATCGATTATATGTAAATCTGATATTAAAGATTTTATTTATTTTCAGCTTATATCGTTCTTTCGCGATATGGTCTTTTTTCGGATTTTCATTTTTTTTTTTAAATTATCTTATAAAATCAAATAGAATAAATAGTATTCTATATTGATATTTATTTTAAGTTTTTAACCAAGAATAACGAATCTATGACATAATTGATGAAATTGTGAAATACGAGTGGTACTCGTACACCACCTTCTTAACACTTTATCTAGTTTGTAACTATACGATTGAATATTTTCTTACAGCAAAATCATTTCAATAAGGTAAATAATATAACCTGGGTGGAGAGGTTAACAACATATAATAAGGGCATATAATCAATCTCTCATCCTTTCCATAAATGGCAAATACAAACTAAATCTTAGTTGACCCATCAACAAAAAAAGTCACAAAATGCCACGTGGCGTTATCTCACACCGGCAAAATCTCCAATAACCTCGGCGAGTTACATGGTAAATTAAAATCAACGAACACCAAAGAAACTACATTGACGAAACAAACAAACACAACACAACACATTAGAAGAAACACAACAAAAACTAAAAAAGAAACAGAGGAGAAAAAAGGAGACGACGAGGAAAGAAAAACAAAAATAAAACAACCCTCG